GCATGAGGCTTGAGCAGAGCTGTCGCTACTTGTTGTGAAACACTTGCCTCAGTATGTCTGGGTTATATTCTCACTATGACTGTACATCGGCTCGCTGTTTCAAACAAGGCTGTAGTGAGGCTAATTTGGTTTCTTGTTTACTGTGTTTTCGTGTCACGTACATATGGGCAGGAGAGCAAACGATATTGTCCTGCATGTGAAAAGCCATCAAAAGGCGCCAAACCTCCTCATAAATAAATCATCGTATTCTATTAAGCTTGAGGAAGCACACACACACATTAAAAAAAAAATAAAAAAATTATAAAATATCTCCGCTATTCTGATCTGTATATAGTGAATTAAAATTTCATGGGAGGAGAGATCATTAATCATCTCACTGGCAAACAGCCTTCCCCCATAAGTGGGTATTAAAAAGACAAACAAAAGATAGCTAACACAACATGCAAACCAGCCCCATGATCCCGGGTCTGCATCATGGCAACAATACATTTGTGAAATGCAAAAGGAGTTAAACAGGAGTTACCACTTCATTCAGATGACACTTCATGCAAAACGAAGGCAGGCAGAAAACAGGAAATAAAAGCTCTTGATATACATAAATTCATATACAGTTTCATTAGCAGCTGAGTGTGGTTTCTGCATGGCTTCAGCTGGGTGGACCAAATATAATCACAATTTTTTTAATGTCATACCATCCACAATCACCTGCATCCTGAGTGTCTTAAGTTTATTTAACATAGAATTAACATTTACACTTGCTTTGCCAGTTTATTTAGCTCAAATGAATGCAGTCTAATACAAGAGTGCTGCAATAAATACCTACCCTTATGACATTTGTAGTGGTCTGTTTTTAGCTAAAACTGTTTTAGAGAGGTGTTGATTCAACTTTATAGTCATTTTGGAGGCTGCAGTGTGTGCTGTTCAGAGCGAGACGTGTTTCTTAAATTTTATCCAACCAAATTATATCAATGAGGGTAGACATAATTTTAAACACACACTTTCATTTTAGCACAATGTACATAAACTGGTTACTAAGTGTGTGTACAAACAACATACAGCATGTTTTATACAAATGGATATAGTACATTTTTATTTCATCTATATATTTCCACTTGTGTTTGTGTGGCTGATAGTGGCAATCATACAGAGCATGACACATTTTAGGTTGTTTGTTTTTTTTTATTTAACCTCTTGCGAACTTGTACATGTACAATATCTGACAGCAACCTAACCAGCAATTTGTGCTGTCTTAAATCTTGCGATTTATGATAAGCTGTCTGCAGTACAGGCCCCTTGAGGATCCTGTGTGACACTTTATTACTAAGAACTATAACAAAAGCAATGTTTGTGGCTTCGGTCCTCAAGGGCCTTTTCCTCATTATTCACACTAAAAGTCACTTCCCTCATTGTGACAGTCTGAGGCACAACCATTTAGATGCTAGTAATATAAACTGCCTGCCATGTAAAGCAACCCACGTTTATTCTCTGCAGGCACTCCTGCTGTTATAGAAGGGTTATGCATCCATTGCTCTTGCAAAAAAAAAAAAAAAAAAGGGAAACTTAGGGAGAGAGAGAGAGCAAGCGAGAGAAGATTTAGAAAGTAAGAAATTTGCACAAGGACAAGCGATGGAACAAGGTAACGCGGAGACACAAAGAGAGAAAAGTACAGGACACGAGTGGGGTCTATGTGGGTGTGCTCATGTGAGTATGTAGGTGTCTGAGCATGTGTGTGTTTGTATCAGTAGGAAGTGTGTTCAGGCACGTATGCTCCCCCTAATCAATTATGCATTTATTAATAGAAGGCCTGAGAAGACAAAATTTCAAACAGCTGAACGGTGCAGCAGCTTAGTTAAACAGCTGAATGGTGCAGCTTAGTTAAAGCCTAATTTCTTTTTTAGCAGCACTCCAGCCTCTCTGCTATGAATGCCAATCAGCGTTTAAACCCCACCCCTCCTGGCTATAACCCCCTCCCCTCCCCCTGCTGTTCTGAAGAATTCTCATCAGAGCCTCGCCTTTGAAATGTACCAGAACCAGCACATCAAACAAGCCCGTTGCACATGCGCAGGCACACACACAAACACCCACAGACGCACACACACACACACACACACACGCAATCAGACGCACACATACACACACAGTGCCTGCCGATCAAAGCACACACATCACAGTATTTGTCCCAGAGTGGCGTTTTTTTTTACGAGTGACCTTGGTACCAAAATCCCTTTCAAAGCACACCTTCATGGACACGACCATCATCTTAACCCGTTCTCACATTGACTCTCCCCACTGACGAGGAATGGAAGACCAACTTTGCAGATTTCTTGAATGCTGATGAGCTTTTACACCCCAAAGGGTTGTATCTTGTATTTCTAACAATCCCGAACCAGAGAATGTGTCCCTGCCTTAAAGAATTCAGCCTGGGTACTGTCGCAATTGTCTTTTCCATCTGTTCCAAATGGCTCTCAGTGGAGCTGTACTGTGGTGTGACATGGGGCAAAAACTTCTCTTCTGTTTCCGGCTACCCAGGAAAATGAACCATCATGGGACACGGGGAAAACACATCTAAATATGGAAATTCAGTGCTGTTCACATTTATATTTGTATTTGAAATAATAAAACCGTTTTAATACCTGCATTGCTTCATGCGAGTCCCTCAGCAGTGAGCCACAAATTCATAGATCACTCACTCATTTGCTAAACTAGTAAAAAAAAAAAAAAAAAGAGTCCAGAAGAAGACAAAGTGTGAATGCTAATGTGGAACTACTGGCTCATTAAGTCATATAGAGGTATACGTGCTAAAAAGTGAAAATGTTCAACCAAAGTGAAACATTGCTTTGGTAGCCTATCCAATGCCATAATTTAGACGGGAATCACACAGAAGATCAGCCTGCGACTGATGAATATTTTACCTCATAAAACTGTCATCTCCATATTTAACACAGAAACAAGCCAATGCCCTTGTGAGATGGCTGTCAGTTAATTATAAAACTCTCCTCAGTAAAGAGAGAGAAAAATGCTCCAAATGCAACTCTTAACTCTCCCCCTACTGATATTAGGAGGCGTCTAGGGAAATTTTCACATTTTCCCCCTTTTCGGGATGAAATTAATGTGACAGAAAGAAAGGCTCATTGCACAGCAGCTAGATAGAGGGATGGGAGGGAGGGAGGGAGGGCAGGAGGGAGAGCCAGGGCAGGGAGAAGAAAGGGGGGATGAGCGAGAGTGCAGGAAGAGGGAGGGAGAGA